GAAGATTGACGTGGATGCAATAGCTAACAAAGTTAAACAGCCCATCCACACGTACTACCCTTTGCGCGGTTATCAACTCTACCTCTGCCAGGCCTCGTTAAGGTGGGTGCTTCGGCCACCAAACAATGGGAGGAGCTATTTCCACCCAATCCTCCATCCCGAGGAGAACTGAGTCACGTCGTCAATTGTTGACCTTAAAAGCCACAACTTTAGTGTGTTTTTTTGTTTCTGAGGAGTAGGTAAGTGCTGGATTTGATCTGGACTGATGTCCTTCTCATTTCCATCCCCCACACGAGTCAAGCTGACTGGAGATTATATTGGGTGCAGCAGCTGGCGTGAGGAGGAGGAGGTGTCACCTTCTAATGCATGCCATGCACTAACTCTAATCTCTCAGTAGTAAGAGACGCCATTAGAGGGGGTCTTTTGAAGCCTGCTAGCTTCCCAAGCCACGATATCTAGCGTGCCATGAACGGGTTGATGTACTGATTTATCACGAGGCAGGATCTCTCAGTGTTGGCTTCAATCGTTCCTCTCCCGTCCACCGATGGCTTTTCCCGGCGGACTGGTGATGAGGTTTACCGCAGTGGCTGGCCTGGTGTCCATCTCCATCTAACACATGTCGCATGCATGTATGACACGTCGACGCTATGCCGCCTCCTCTGAGGCTGTGTACACAAACCTGTATGTGTTGAAATACGGGAATCACGTATGGGAGAGTTCGCCAGGTCATTTTTTGGATGCCTGCGTGGTTGTATCATTTGACATGTCCTTTTGTTTGGATTCCTGTCGTTTCATGCACTGACGCAAAAAGTTTCTTGGATATCCATCTTTAGAGGATAGTTGGAAGATATATTTTATTTCTGCCTGATAACTTTCTTCATTAGAGCAGCGGGTTTTGGTTCGATTTAGGAGGCTGTAGACAAAATTCCTTTCGTGAAAATTGGGCGGTTGCTCTCAAAATGTAGGATAACCTCTGAATATGTTCCGTACTGATGTACGGAGTGATCCATCAGTATTTCGATGTACAAAGGCATCCAGAAATGGGAGTTGTTCATCAACCTCCGTTTCGTATGTGAATTCAATTCCTGGAAATGCACAATTGAGCTTCTTGTAGAGGAGGTCTAAATAATTCTTCTTGATGATGAAAAACGTGTCATCTACATAGCGTAGCCAGACAGGTATACAATGCTACCCGGGAGTTTGTCTCTGGAGCACCTTTGGGCCGGTTTGCATACTATTTTTCCCCAATATCGACTGGTCCCCGACTTACATGACTCGAGCACGTGCACGCACGCACAAATAAGGGGAAAAATAGCGAGCAGGACTAGTGAATAGTTTATATGTTAGTGTTGATGTG